AGCAGGTATCGAGGCCAGTTTATATGTATATGTCCAGCTGAAAACACAAATTTATCTGTTGTTAATAGCGTCATTAAAGCTAAAATGACCAGAAGAAGGCTATTTTTGCACATGGAAATTATACTTTTATACGTACACAAACAAAAATAAATATGGCTTGACAGAAACAGATTTTCACGTTTAGTACATTAAATGCACTGTCCATTGAGCAACTAGCAGGTGCCATACTACTATGAGCTGAGTGACTTGCTCTGCAGTATTTACGCTACAAAAAAAAAATTGTGTCACTTTAACTTCAACTCTGGCTTGCTTTGCAAAAACAAATATTGTTATGAAATATTAGGTGTCGGTAAAGTTTTCCAGTTCCTTTATGTCTTCTAAGAAAAAAACAAACGTCTTTTGTGCTCAATATTGCAACAAATCGTTTAAAATGTAACCCACTTAGAAGTTGCCAATAAATGTCAGAACTTTAAATGCAGGATATTCGTGCAGAGCACAGTCTATTTACTTTGTACATTATTTTTCATACAATAAACCTTGCAGTTATATAACAAAGGGTACATGGATTAAATAAATATTTGTGTGTATATACAGACATAGACTCCCTCTCTCTCTGCAGGATTAAGGGGTCCAGCTACCGAGAGTTTACAAACATCTAGTTAGTAGCTTATGGCTAATGTGTGCCAATTAGATTCCAATTTTGCAGGACATCACATAATGTTGCATACACATCACTCAAAGCATGTTGGGAGGTAGAACCCAGAACATGTGGAGTGCCAAAGGTTGGCAACCGCTCACCTAATCCCTCAGACAGCTGGAACTAGCACCGAGCCATGTTACAGACTAGATATATATATGACTAGTCTATAACATGGCTATATATATGTATATACCTGAAGCCAGCACTAGGTCATGAAATTGACACTCAGTAACACACACTGTTGGAGCCCTCACAGGGTCATGCAATAGAGAGTTAGTCTATGGGTGCCCTCAGATATAAAGCTGGAGGTGGCAATATTACATGTTATATGGGCTCCCCGCAGGCACACAATTGAAGGTGGTACTGGGTCATGTGTTGTATATAGGGGTACATGTTTTATACAGTCACACCACTCAAGCACACACTGGTGCAGGTGGCATTGGGCCATGTGATATAGAGCAGTTCCTCTCAGACAATGGTAAAGGTGGCAGTAGGTCATATGATATACATAGGTTCCCTTCAGAAACACACAGCTGAAGGCTTGGTCATAAGGTGTACAGCCGCAGTTCACTATGCGTGGCCACGTGGCATACAGCCGCAGTTCGCTATGCATGGCCACGTGGCGTACAGTTGCAGTTCACTAGGCGTGGCCACGTTCCATACAGCCTCAGTTCGCTTTGTGTGGTCATGTGGCGCAAAGCTGCAGTTTGCTATGCGTGGCATACAGCTGCAGTTCACTAGGCCACGTGGCATCCAACTGCAGTTTGCTATGCGTGGCCACATGGCGTACATTTGCAGTTTGCTATGCATGGCCACATGACATACAGCTGCAGTTTGCTATGCATAGTGACATGGCCCACAGCCGCAGTTCGCTATGTGTGGTCATGTTGTGTACTGCTGCAGTTTGCTATGCGTGGCCACGTGACATACAACTGCAGTTTGCTATGCGTAGTGACATGTCACAGTTAGCTATCTGTGGCCACGTGGCGTACAGCTGCAGTTTGCTATGCGTGGTGTACCACGTGACCAAACATAGAGAGCTGCAGCTGTGCACCACGTGACCTAGCCTTCATCAGTGTGTATCCGAGGGGAACCTCTGTATATCATGTAAATGTAACCAGTGCCACCTTTACCAGTGTGAGTCTCAGAGGAACCGCTATATATTACATGACCCAGTGCACCTGCACCAGTGTGTGCTCGAGTGATACGCCTGTATAAAACATGACCCAGTATCACCTCCAGCTGTGTGTTCCTGGGGGTGTACCCCTATATACACTATGTGACCCAGTTGAGGGGTGCCCCTATATACACTATGTGACCCAGTTGAGGGGTACCTCTATATACACTATGTGACCCAGTAGAGGGGTACCCCTATATACACTATGTGACCCAGTTGAGGGGTGTCCCTATATACACTACGTGACCCAGTTGAGGGGTACTCCTATATACACTATGTGACCCAGTTGAGGGGTGCCCCTATATACACTACGTGACCCAGTTGAGGGGATACCCCTATATACACTATGTGACCCAGTTGAGGGGTACCCCTATCTACACTATGTGACCCAATGGAGGGGTACCCCTATATACACTACGTGACCCAGTTGAGGGGTACTCCTATATACACTACGTGACCCAGTTGAGGGGATACCCCTATATACACTATGTGACCCAGTGGAGGGGTACCCCTATATACACTATGTGACCCAGTTGAGGGGTGCCCCTATATACACTATGTGACCCAGTTGAGGGGTGCCCCTATATACACTATGTGACCCAGTTGAGGGGTACCTCTATATACACTATGTGACCCAGTTGAGGGGTGCCCCTATATACACTACGTGACCCAGTAGAGGGGTGCCCCTATATACACTATGTGACCCAGTTGAGGGGTGTCCCTATATACACTACATGACCCAGTTGAGGGGTACTCCTATATACACTACGTGACCCAGTTGAGGGGTGCCCCTATATACACTACGTGACCCAGTTGAGGGGATACCCCTATATACACTATGTGACCCAGTTGAGGGGTACCCCTATCTACACTATGTGACCCAATGGAGGGGTACCCCTATATACACTATGTGACCCAGTTGAGGGGTACCCCTATATACACTATGTGACCCAGTTGAGGGGATACCCCTATCTACACTATGTGACCCAGTGGAGGGGATACCCCTATCTACACTATGTGACCCAGTTGAGGGGTGCCCCTATATACACTATGTGACCCAGTTGAGGGGTACCCCTATATACACTATGTGACCCAGTTGAGGGGTGCCCCTATATACACTATGTGACCCAGTTGAGGGGTACCTCTATATACACTATGTGACCCAGTAGAGGGGTACCCCTATATACACTATGTGACCCAGTTGAGGGGATACCCCTATATACACTACGTGACCCAGTTGAGGGGTACTCCTATATACACTATGTGACCCAGTTGAGGGGTGCCCCTATATACACTACGTGACCCAGTTGAGGGGATACCCCTATATACACTATGTGACCCAGTTGAGGGGTGCCCCTATATACACTATGTGACCCAGTTTACACTATGTGACCCAGTTGAGGGGTACCCCTATATACACTACGTGACCCAGTTGAGGGGTACCCCTATATACACTACGTGACCCAGTTGAGGGGTGCCCTTATATACACTATGTGACCCAGTTGAGGGGTGCCCCTATATACAATATGTGACCCAGTGGAGGGGTGCCCCTATATACACTATGTGACCCAGTGGAGGGGTGCCCCTATATACACTATGTGACCCAGTTTACACTATGTGACCCAGTTGAGGGGATACCCCTATATACACTATGTGACCCAGTACCCCCTCCAGCTCTGTGTGATATTGGCTCCCTGTGCTGTCAGTCAGTGAAATGGACTAAGGTCCTTACATATGTGACTGGGGGGATGTCACTATTTAACCCTTGCAGTGCCCAGGATTATTAACCTCATGTGTGCAGAGTCCACTAATGGAGGATCTGTTACAGCGTCTGGAGGAAGAGGCTCTGTGTTTGGGGGAAGGTGGGGGAGGGAGGAGGAGTGGCTGGCCATTTCACTATTAGAAAATGAAAGAGATGAAGTCAGCATGGAAATGAGGCTTGGAACGCACAGAGCAGGAAGTAACTTCCTTAATGTCACAGAACTCCAGGAATCTGAGGATTCCACAACCTGAGAGGCTTCTCTCCTTCACTAAGTGCTTTATAAAAGATATTAAAGAAGAGGCTTAGCAGTGAGAAGCTGGGCACAGCTAAGGCTGCAACACAGGGAAAGGCTGGATCTCCCTCTCTCTCTCAGGGAGATGTACTAAGCTCTGTCTCTTTAGACCCCAAAACTGGAGAGTGTTCCCCTGGGGTATCTGGTTTAGAGAAGCCTGGGGAAGTAATTCATTTACTTAAAGGACCACCCTACCCCCAAAAGCGCCTCAGCATGCTTACGTGCATTACGTAGGGGTATCCTATTTTAACCCCAGTTTATAAAAGCGTTGATTTCCATGAAAAACCTGCACTTTTCTAAATAAATTAGGGCCCCCGGCCTAACGGAAGTGGCAGACGCGTCGCCGGCCTTCTCCCACACAGACCTCAGATCAGACGTGCGTGTGTGTACGAGCTGTCAAATGCGTACGAAGCGGCGCACACGAGTGCTTCAATTCAGAGCGGCTTCTCAATGTGACGCCTCTGATTGGTGATTTCCCCGATGACCGAAAAGTAGAGGGCTTGCTAAGGCTGCAGTTCATAAGACACTTATAACATAACATACCCTCAACGAATATATACGTGAAAAAAGCATACATATATGTATTCATTGGGGTATATCTACTAAACAGTGACTTGTTTTTTTGGTTTTTTTTTTGTCCATTTGGACAGTGTAGTGTCCTTTTAAAGATATATCACAGGATATTCAGACTGGGCCAGCTTAGGCTTGAAATAATGCTAAACCAGACAATTTGGTATTTAGTGCTACAGTTAGGAGAAAATGAGAATTGTTTAAAAGAAGCATTAACCTGTGACATGTCACCTGTAGCCCACCACTTAAGTAATTCTAAGAAAGGAAAAACTTGGAATGTAGAATACATTGATCTTTACTACATGCTTCAAAAGAGGTTTTACTTAAATATGATTTAAAAAAAGAATAGATGCAGACCAGTCCCTAGATCAGGGTTAGGCAACCATTTAGTACTACTGTGCCAAAACAACATTTTAAAGTCCCTTGATGTGCTGGTGCTATTTATTTGAATTGAAGTATGTTTGTTGTTGAATTGTGCTTGTGTTATTTATGGGTACTGCAGTTGCTTTGTAATGTTGTATATGTGTGTATTTGGGCTGTTATATTGTACATGTTCATGAGTAATTTGTGGTACTAATTGTGTATTATACCCATGAATGTGGGCTGTGTATGTGGGGCTGCTTGTGAAATTGTGTGTGTGTGTGTGTGTGTGTATATATGATATGTTACATTGTGTGGTTGGTGGTGTGTGTGTATGTGTTGGGATGCTTGTGGTATTGCATGTGAGAGGCTGTTTGTGGGGTTGTGTGCATATATGTGGATTGTCAGTGCTGTTGTGTTTGTGGGGACTGTGTGTTTGTGTGGTGGCTGTTTGTATTATCTGTATGAGGGTGAAGCGTTTTCTGCAGCTCTGTGTATATCTAGCAGTGTGGGTTGCTTTCCTGGGGTAGAGCGGGGACTGGGCTCACCAGGCACAGGTGAAGTGTAGGACCACCTGCGAATGCCATGCCGTAGGTTGATGACCCCTGCCCTAGGTCATTTAATAACACTGCAGGCTATCAGTATTTTCGTTAGCATTATATGTGAAAAACAATCTATTCTAGGGGTTTATAAGAATTCCGACAGTCTTGCATGGTTTATTATGATGCTTTACTCAGGAAAATGGTTTCCGTTTATAAGAATATGAAATGGGGTGTCATAGGTGTAGGATTGCGAGTTAGCATTATGTAAGACGATGTGTTACTTCCTCCAAACCAGCTGCTGCTGTTTCATACCTAAATCGTGGTTTGTGCTGGTCTATTAATGACTCAGTGCAGACAGCCTAATAGTTGCAAATATAAACACGAATGCACCCATTGTGGAGCCTTACACCCAGCTTCAAAATGTTTTAAAACACAATTCTACGCAGAATGGTTTCCCCAAAAAACAGTGACGCCAATGACAGTGAAATTGGGGGGGGAAAAATGCTTCCATTTATAAGAATTTCTCCAAACCAAGACAACGCCAGAATAATAATTAATAGTTTTTCTTATTATTTTAAAATACCCATTTATTTATTTTTTACTCTGATTGCTTCACATGGGTAAAACTCTAGAATCTGTACATTTAAAGGCACACTATAGTCACCAGAACCACTACAGCATGTTCCTGCAGGCTTTTCAAAGTAAATGCTGCCTGTTTAGAGAAATGGCAGAGTTTACATTACTGCCTAGTAACACCTCTAATGGCAGTCACTCAGATGGCCACTAGAGGTGCTTCCTAGTCCAGTGCTGCACAGTGTAGTCATCTTATGTTTGCCCCCGTCAGTTGTGTGAGAGTTTACATATATATATATAGACCGTAACACTTTGCCAGTCACAGAGATCTGGAGCGCCAAACTTAAAGGATCACTATAGTGTCAGGAAAACAAACCTGTTTTCCTGACACTATGTCATCCTTGGGGGACTCTCACCCTCAGGGATCCCCTCCCGTGGCGCTGAAGGAGTTAAAACCCCTTCAGCAGCTTACCTTAATCCAGCGCCGGGCTCCCTTGATGCTAGTGACCTCTCCTGCCGACGTCAGCTCTCAAGTGGAGCATAATGCGCATGCGCGGCAAGAGCCGCACGCGGATTCTAACAGTCCATAATGCTTTCCTATGGACATTCTGCACGCTGATTGCGAATTTTGCATCCAGCGTCGCAGAAGCGCCTCTAGCAGCTGTCAGGAAGACAGCCACTAGAGGTTGGAAACTGCTCTGAAACTGCTATGTTTACATGTGAAAGGTTAAAACCTAAGGGACCTGGCACCCAGACCACTTCATTGAGCTGAAGTGGTCTGGGTGACTATAGTGTCCCTTTAATTATCATTGCACAATGTAAAATTATTCCTTTACAGACAGGGTTATTCAATAAAAAGTGAACTACTGGTAACCCAAAGTGAATTTAAATTTTTAGGCAAAACTTTAGCCGAAAAGCAAATATAATAAAATAAACTTTATAGGTTTTTAGTTCTCATTTTTCAGCTTAAATCATAATATTTGAAATTAACTTTGAATTCCTTGAGTTCAACAATATATCTCCTAAAAAGAAGAATTATCTAACAAAGGGCTTCTTACATGAATAAGCTCTAATAAAATGAAAGGAACACTCCAGTCACCATCACAACTTCATTGTAATGAAGTTGTTATTGTGCCAGGAGGCCCCCTGGGCGCTTCCTTACTTGAAGGGTTAAACGATTTTCGAACAGTATAACCCCAAAGGTTGCCTCCTGTGCCAGGTCTGCAGTTCCCCCAGTAGCATCTGACTTTTGACATTGAGTTTCAGAAAGTGGGCAGGAGCATCACTGATAGGAAGATACTGATTGGCTTAGCATAGGGGTGTCCAAGAGGTAGGTCCCCATATGTTTTAAAACTACCATAATGCTTTGTCATTCTAAAGGCAATCAAAACATCATGGGAGTTGTCTTTCTACAACATTTGGGCATCTACTTTTTGGGCACCTCTGGCTTAGAGCATCAGATAGCTACTCGTACTAGCCAATCAGCGGCTAACCTGGCCGGCGGCACTCGGCACTTCCTGAAACTCAATGTCAAAAGTCGGATGCCACTGGGGGAACTGCAGACCTGGCACAGGAGGCAACACTTGGGGTTATACCATTTGAAAATCGTTTAACCCTTCAGGTAAGGAAGTGCCCAGGGGGCCTCCTGGCACAATAACAACTTAATTACAATGAAGTTGTGATGGTGACCGGAGTGTTCCTTTAATTTTATTAGAGATTGTTCATGTATGAAGCCTGTTTATAGTTTCTTAATTTGTCTTTTCAGGAGATATATTGTTAACTAATTCGCCAGCCATTTGGACCAAATTCTGCTTTTTATTATTTTACACAATTTAAGTCCGATTAATCAGATCACAGCCAGGGTTATTTAGGCAAGTGTTTATTTTCAGGAATTCAAAGTGATTTTCAAATTTTAGCTCAAAAATTCATAAACTGAAAAAATATATATACGTCAGCTAAGTTTTCACTTTGGCTACTGGGTCTAAACTTTACAATTTAATTTCAGGGTTATTTCCTAAAAAAAAAAGGAACCCTAGTGATTGTAAACCAAATGGAAACAAGGGCCAACCACTAACTACACAGGAGTTGGATAATTTGTCCAAATTAGTTATTATTGGCAGAATTGAGCAATTTTGCTAAAATTCACTACAGTTTTGAGTGAATAACCTCCTTATTTGTTAACTGTTGGAAATTCTAATTGAATTTAAATTTTTAGACCAAAATATTCAAACTGGGAACATACCTCACTTGGAGAATGGTGCCTATTCTTCGGTTTTTGCCTAAAATTTTAAATGACTTTTGAATTGGCAACAGTTCACATTCACAGAATTCATGGATAATTATTATTACTAAATCATTTTGCTCAACTGAGATGATTGAAAATTATCAAAGTTATTCACCGAAACGTGAATTGTTGGAAATTTACTAAATAATTGAGCTGGAAACGAAGCTGACTGAGAATTTTTCCAAAGTCAAATATTTTTGTCTTTCTTTTGCAATTCACGGGTGAATTCCTGACCATTCGCAGCTTCATAAATAGCCACGATCGTGAGACTTGCATTATATTGTCATGAATGTTGTATCTCAAATTTGCGCCTGCATATTCAGGTCTTGCTAAATAAACCCTGGTACTATTTGATTTACAGCTTTTGTGTTTTCAACATTTCTGACTTGTTAATTTGTGGTTGATTATATGCCTTAAACAATGGTTAGAGTCTATCTTTCCAAATATCCACAGATAGTACTGTTTATGAATAATCCCATTTACGGCTTAGTCTGATGATTAGACAATCCTATAAATCCAGCAGGACAAGGCACCTGTGCATATAATAGCCTCCAGCAGACATGATCACAGAATGAGCCCCCTTGATCACCTGACTTGATAGCCAGGATGTTTTATGTTAAGTGAACATCACTCAGATTAGATACTTTCAGTCCAGTTTGTTAACATTGTGTCTGGCCTTTGTGCCAGAAGAGTCCCTCTATTCATCCCCCTCAAAGGTTATCATGGCTTACCCTTAGATCTTTAGTGCCTGCTCAGCAGGGGGTCGCATTATGAGAGGGAACAAACAATACAATTCAGGTTTGGTAGATACTGGACCCCTGTGGTGATCTCTGGGGTGTGTGGGCAAGTACAGACACGCAGTAATAACACTGTAGTTTCTGTGGATTGAAACTTTCTTCAATCATAGTAAATCGTGCCAGAATAGTGCAGATGGAGGCGTCCAGTAACTGGCAGTACACTAACTTGAAACTTTTATGACTGCAATTTAAAACAAATGCACATTAATAATAATTCCCAGCTTATTTTGGCTCATGCGTTACTCAAATATAAACTTTATTTGGTCTACATCAGCATGCAGGGAGAATGCTGGTTTTCTCCTAGCCATGGTTTACAAAATCTGGTACACATAATAGTAAAGTAATTAACCATATATAATGTATGTGTCTTTAATATGGCTGAAATGGCTATGCATATAATTACTCCCTACTGCGTCTCCTGCAGATAAGAATTAAAGGGGCATTCCAGGCACCAAAACAACTTCATCTAAATAAAGTTGTTATGGTGCTAGAATGCCCCACTGATTGGATTATGCTCTCAGCCAATCAGAGACTCCCTATTCAGTAAACAAGCTTTGAAAGAAATTCGCTTTTCTCAAGGTTGCCTCCAGACACCATAACACTTTAATCAAAATGAAGTTGTTTTGGTACCTAGAGTGTCCCTTTAACATCCCACAGGGCCCAAGGCATGTTTCCAGTTTGGGGCCTCCCTTCATTATAGAGATACGGATGGTAAACGGGGCCAAGCAAATTCACTGATCATGCATTGCCTTATGGCTAATCCTGCTCTGCTCCTTGTTATAAAACGTAAAATAACTCTTGAACGATACTGTACAAAACATGTTGGTGTTTCGCTACAAATGAAAAAATAAATAATAATTTGACTATACAGTATAGTTGGAGATTGCTTTTCCAAATCAATAATGTTTGTCTAAAAGTTTTTAATGCAGATTTAAATCACTACAAAGTTGCTGTTTTGTGAATACACCTCTGTGAGTACTCTAATTACTCTTAACAAATTGTGCAAAGAATATTCATAGTACGCCATGAACTAGCCTGCATCGTGTTCCTTAGGGTAGATCATTGACTGAGCTAGCACATAGTACATACCCCCGACGTATAAAATAACCAAAGAGGCACGTGTGTGCTTTAATTGGATCCAGCAGGCAACCTATCCAACCAGGAGGAGAACAAAGTCACTCTAGGTAGATATTTAAATGTTCGCTGATCTAAGGCAGTGACAGATTAACATTTCGCAAAATAACAAGTCAGTAAGACATCTAAAATGAGGGAAAGACATTCCAGCATACTCAGAGCACTTTTAGACAAACAGCACTTTAATCAAACAAAAAAAATAGTGTTTACAGCAACAATCTGTTGTCTTGATATTGCTGTATATTTTATTCAACCATAAGATGTGTTTCCATGTGACGAAGACACTGTTAAAGGAATGAAATAAAACAGGGTGACCACAGGGAAGTTGTAATAATGGAGCAGGCGCCACTGGGCAGTTCCTGCAACAACAGAGCTTTTAGAAGAAGGTTTTCTTTAACCCTTATTTCAAAAAAAGTCTTCATATTTAATTCCGGCCCGACAAGGATCACAGGACACTACATAGTACTTGATGAATGGTGGCGAGGTGGTTTATCGAGTCGCAAAATGTTTAGTTTTTTGGCTTACATGGTTATCAACACTGATGTCAAACACAGATTGTTATGGTAGATAAACGAGATTCTTCTAACAGATCAGAAACTAGTGGTTCATCCATTCAACCCGCTGCAAAATCTAATCCAGATTTTGATGATTTATATTACAGCACATGGGCCTTAGGGGTAGGCAACGCTCAGCACGCCAGATGTTGTGGACTGCATAACCCATGATGCTCTTACGACCATAATGGTGGCAAAGCATCATGGGAGATGTAGTCCACAACATCTGGAGTGCCGGTGGATGTCTACCACTGGGCTAGGCATATACGCATCCCAAGCATTATGTGATTCTTTAATAGGACAGACTAACTGCTTCCACTGGGATCCTACAACCCATTCTGTATCAATGTTTGTCTTTCCACTGGAAGGCTGGTCCGCATATCTACTACCATTTCTATTTTACTGTTAGCCTTTACTGCTTCCACTGGAATCCTCTGTCATTTCACATCACTGTTAGGTCTACACACATCACACACATTCTTAGAGTTAGTTATTGTGTTCGATATTAACAAACTGGATTCAAGGGAAAGGTTAAATGTATGGCCTTTTCTCCTAAAACACTAAATAATTAAGTCTTTCTATAGATTTCCATACACATTCATGTAATATCACTTGAGCCGTCTTGGACATTTAACTGTGCAATAAACATCTTTAGTTTCAAGTTAATGTTTGTTTGAGTTAATTTACAACCACGGAGCATGTTCACTTATAAATGAGCCATTTGTTAAATGCAAGAAAAAAAATAAACGTTTATTTTGATTTGTGAATTTTTAAATTTAGGTATATTGGCCTTAAATTTGGAATCTCTTTTAGATGATGTTTAAATATTTGAACTTTAAATTGTTTAAAAAAAAAAAAAGGCCTAACCACAATGTTAGTGCCAGGCGAGAATCAGAACGTCATACTTTTCGTTTTATTGTATTACAATTTAGAAGAGCAAAAAGCACAAAACAAATAAAACACGAACGCAAAAAGAGCTGGTACCAGGCACAGACTGATGAACTATAACTTTAAAACCAAAAGCCCCTGAAATGCTGATTCAGCTCTCAGTCTCCGCAGGATGGAAAATGATACTAAGCCCCCCACTGGGCCAACCAGAGAAGAAGAAAAGATTAAACAAAATATAATAATAAGCATGACAACCGCCTATTCATGAAGATGAAAAGTCTCTGTCTGAGCCATCACTGGCGTAACTGACAGGAAATTAATGTTTGAATCGTGGATAACTAGAGACTTCTGAGTTCTAAGATTGGATTTTAGCCTCTGGATCAAATAGCAGGAATCTTAAAGGGACTCTGGCAATGCAGAATATCAGAGGCCAGTTTAATCTAATTTAAAACGTGATACACGGTGCCAGATACATAGCAAATTTATAGATGGAGATTTATTGTTAGTTTTTTAAATTTTATAAAACGTATTATTAATACTTCTGGGTCTGTCTGCACTGTTGCGTGAATCATTCAGGGACAAACTGCAAAGCATGCTGGATCAGTCACATTCGGCATGCATACACTTTAAATAAAATAAAAAACTACTAGTGTTTAAAAGAGTTAAGAGGGCAATTAAAGAGACATTAATGAAACCGTGACAATAAACTATGTAAAAATGTGTCTGATGGAAAGTAAAATATCTACCCTGTGCGATCTCTAGAAGACATGATTCCTGGTTCTCAACCCCTAGCTAGGACCCAAAACAGGTCCATCACATTAGTAAGGCCACAGCAAACATCCAACAATACATTATTTTTTACCGCAGTGGCACTGGCTTCCCAGCACGATCCAGATAGTCCATGCACTAACCAATGAGAAGAGAATATTATTTGTATTGTATAGACTTCAATCAGGTCAAATTTGGCCAGTGAGTATCATATGAGCATGTTTTCCATAGCTCTAAGCTTGTACTCAGTCCATCATAAAGCTACTGAAGACATCAGTTGGCCAACCTAAGACAACTGCACTCATGACACCCCCAAGCTAGGTTTTAGAAGTAAAGTGAACCCCTGCCTTCTACAACTCTAAATGACCCTCACAGAATCATTTCTGTTCTAGTGATAAATCGTTGGTTAAAAAGCTGAATGGTGAAAAATCACTGGATTATCAAGTAAATAAGAACATTTCACCCTCTGGATGGATGGGAATCTGTTTATTCCAGATTAGATCTCCCTGTGACCTGTACGGAACCCTGAGTTTGTCTTTTACACAATCCTCCTGACTGCCCTGCCTGTCCCATTCATCTTAAACATAGCAGATAAATGGAGCATCCATTAAATTCACCTGAACAAACATTATCACTCATTCTACTGTACCAGACCGGGCTTTAACTATTTGCAAACAAATCTTTATTGCTCCATTAACAGGAGCGTGACGTACAATGTGCTTTTTGTTCTAAAGGTTTTTGCTCTAAGTATAACATAATGTATTTTTTTTACATTTTAGGGTAAGATAGCCGAATTGGAAAAAATCGTAGTCACCTAAATTTTCAGTTTGGCTATTGTAGTCTAAATAGTTTCACTTGTTTGTAATTTCCAAAATGTAACATGGTAATGTTGGTTCAGGTTTAGATGGAAAAACTGTAGGTGCACCACCAAACCTTAAAAAATATATTGATGATGTTGATTAAAAGAGGAGGCGATGTGAAAATTTGACCGGAGAATCACAAATTTTAAGTAAGAATCATTCAACTAGTCAAATCTCCATTTTTGACCGCTTCATCCTATAATTTGCGATTCCCATGTCATCTATATACAAACCGTAGTTTATTGAATATATCTCACTCAAAAATATATGGTCGGTGTGAGTGTAGCTAAAATTGCTGTGTCCTAATTTAGGCCCACTGGATTATATAGAAATTGGTCATGATCCAGTGAATAAAAGCAGGGAAATCCATTGACTCCAAAAAAAAGATGCACCTCCGGCATTTGCAGAAAAATAATGTATATTATATATTAAAAGTAATAATGTATGAAATGAGCACTATTGATCTGAGTCATGTTTAACAAAGCTGCCTAAAACATCTTCTTAAAGCACACTTTACCTCTCTTTAAACTTTTTACCTTCCTCCCTGCCCCCCTCACCCTTCTCCAACAAACACTAGGAATGTTTACTTATATAATTAGATTTTAAACCTAACCCCCCACCCCCATCACTGTGACATCAGAGAACAAATTAATTGTTTTAGGGTTTTTTTTTCTAATAAAATAATATTTTGAGCACTAGAAAGTTATAAAAAATTATAGTCTGGTAACTAGATTTTCATTAATCCTTGGTCACAAAGCTGACACTCTAAAGGTTAAAGGCACTGAATTACTCAACCTAATGAAACTGACACAGGGCACTTTCAAAGCTAAAAATCTACAAAATTGCAAGCTCCTAAGGGCAGATCCTGCAAAATTCTCAATCAGTCTTTATTATAACCATTCTATCGAACTGCATTAAATGTTAGTGCTGTATAAGAATAAAATAGGTTAACTTTTTAAACACTCCAGTTATTTTTAAGGGGAAAATAAAAACTCTAACACAGTTTTCTTTCATCTTCCTCACTAAAAAAACAAAATATGATTATATAGTTCAGCTTCTAAATAATAATAATAATAATAATAATAATAACAACAAGGTATTTAACCAGGAAAGGTACATTCAGATTACTCTGGTTTTTAAGTACGTCCTGGGGATGTAGCCTTAGCCCAACATCCAGGGATTGTTACTATTACCCAATTTAATGAATTTAACTGTGGAGAGGTTGTATGTTTATAGGCGACTACGACATTCTTTATAATAATGTTATTAAAATCATTATTATTTATAAAGCGCCATCGAATTCCGCAGCGCTGGGTATATTATTGTATAAATAAAGACAATTGTAAAGAGGTGCAGAATGTGTTCGCTCTATATAAATTATGATAATCGTAAAATAATATAATTTTTAAAAAAAAATATATAATACACAAATGCAACTAATAAAAAGAATGTAAACTTTAACAAAAAAAACAAAACAATAATAATATAATTATATTTATAATAATAAAAAAAAAAATAAGGTCAGTGTGTAAACTGCAGTGCCCTGAGCCCTGCCCCTTTTCCAGGTCTGTCCCAGTAAGATAGTAAGAAGTCTTGATCACACCCACTCCTTATCCCCGCCCATGTGGGTGTGGCCTGTGCACTGTGATCAGGGAGGTGAGCCACAGTGGCTCAGTCTGTGACAGTCTGGCAGGAGGAGAGCAGTGCAATAGGAGGGCTGTGATCTATGCAGTGCAATAGGAGGGCTGTGATCTATGCAGTGCAATAAGTGGGCTGTGATCTATGGAGTGCAATAGGAGAGCAGAGCTCTGATCAATGCTGAGCAGGAGGGATGCTCTTCTCTGATCAGGACTTCAAGGAGAAGTTCTGAGCTCTACTCTGGATTTTGGACTGGAAGGGGTATTTCTGTAAAGAGTTCTGGGCTGGCAGGAGTAGTTCTGTAGAGAGTGTTGGACTGGCAGGAGTATGTACTGCAGAGTGATGTCCATTCAGTCCCAGTGATGGGAGAGCCAGGCAGGGGTCTCCTGGATAACTGGGCAATGCCCCCACCTGCAGCCTGTGCCTCTTCCCATCCCACCAGGATTACTGCTTAGTCTACTGGATCTGCTGCAACCATGCTAAGGAGGGTCCTGCTGAGTGTGTTTATGGTGGTCGTGCTGGGCAGGGGAACCGCACTGCAATATTCCAGTGACATGTGCAATTGGAAAGGAAGGTAAGCTGGCACTGCCAACCAGACTGCTCATTATTATACAAATCACGCTGATACATAGTTTAGTACTGCACACAGAACTAGACCACAGAGCATGCAATCTAGTCTGTGTTTAACAGATATGCACTTTCCATGTATGACCTGCTTAGCTGGATAAACTCGACCTCCCATGTATACTGTATTTCATGTCTATTCTGTGACAGATTTTAATGCAAGAGTAGCCTTCGCATATAGTGCCCGCCTATTCCGTTGCGCTGTACAAGCCAGGACAGTCAGTGCCGAGAATACAGAGTAACACTGGGGGGCTTTTTCAATGGGACAGAAACCTAATCCTAGCACTGTCACAGGGACTCCGATCTTATAATCAGAGTACTGAGTCTGAATCTGTGAGGAAAGGGGTTAAATAATATACATTTATATATATATATTTTATTTATTTATATTTTGTTTTTCTTCCTGTAAATGATGATGCAAAGTGATTAAAGATCCAATCAATGCTGAATTTCTGGTTCCTGTGGAGTCTGAGTGATACTTAGTATACATTGTTATGTTCTGGTTCCTGTGGAGTCTGAGTGATACTTAGTATACATTGTTATGTTCTGGTTCCTGTGGAGTCTGAGTGATACTTAGTATACATTGTTATGTTCTGGTTCCTGTGGAGTCTGAGTGATACTTAGTATACATTGTTATGTTCTGGTTCCTGTGGAGTCTGAGTGATACTTAGTATACATTGTTATGTTCTGGTTCCTGTGGAGTCTGAGTGATACTTAGTATACATTGTTATGTTCTGGTTCCTGTGGAGTCTGAGTGATACTTAGTATACATTGTTATGTAGAATGTTTGGTCACTGATACCAGATCCAGGGTTAGAGAGTGCTGGGTCTGCTGCCCACTCTGGCCATCACAATGCATTGATTTTATCAACACACAAGATTTTGCTAATCCTTAACCCATTTTTTCATGCAGCTGTGGATTTTAGGGATTGATTCTCTGAACCGGGGACAGTGGGGAATTTGCAGTTTGGAAGCATCCTACCAGTCAGAGTTTATTGTTGTAGGGAATACACAGACAGTTTTCTTGGGTACAGGAGGAGACCTTACTACCTGCAGCTGATTAAGGGCAAAGGCTCGTATTGTTTACTGCAGCTCAAAGTTCAGATGATTTTTTTTTTCTTTGCAAACAGCTGATGAGCATCAGATGTTTTCTTGTGAGATCATAAACTTTAAGAGCCAGTTAACATTCCACTATTAACATTTCTCAAAATCTAGTTCTAAGAAATCCTCCTGGGGTGAAGCAGGGTTGTTGTCAAACACTGGGATCTTTGCAGAGCTTTAGCAAGGATCACTGTAGGAACCACTGAAGTTCAGAGCCTGCCAAATCCTGACAGTTCTAGAACCCCCAGGCCCATCAATGTCAGCCAGCCCTCTGCTCCAGAATAAGACAGGGTGTCATAGACTTGTTTCTGCCAAAGCCCTGCAGACACTTTCCTCATTTCTCTTAAAAATGCCAAGAATTTTGATCCTTGCATTGGGTGGTAAGAATGTGCTGTCTCTCTCTCCTGGAGGGTATGTTCTGGCACAGGGCTTAACAGCTTCTACTTTCAGTCTGATCCATTAGAATACCTTATCACAAGTGACTTTCAGTGTGATCATATTTGGTAAGGTAGTATATGGCATTTGGATTGGGCTCTGTACAGGACACCATAGTATCTGTGCCAGTCAGTGCCCCTTTCCTATAGACCAATAGAATACTCAGATGATACTATGTCTCTCCAGTTTTCACCCAGATGGGAAGTTCTGTGGACCATCCTAACCCATTAGTACATTTAATACCAGCCAACTGTTACCTCTTCACAGGTATTGAAGTATTGGATATTGCACAAAGTATTGGCTATAGTATATCGATACATGTGTGAATAACTCAAGAGCCAGCGAGCTGAATAACTGGATGACAAGTCACTTTCCGAATGACTAGTCGATGTACAGTGTATGCCCCATAGTAGTTTCACAACGCCCTCTTATTTTGGGAAGAGTTTAACCCTTTGATTGCCATCTGTTAATTGCCTGGGAGGAAACGCAGTATTTTATTTGAATTGTTACAGGCATTAGGGCACAGTCTTTGTTCTTACTATTAATGCCCTATTTGGCATTCCAAGGGTTAATGCCAAGATGCCTATTTAGATTTCAGCCTACGTCCCATGTAATAGCTGCTGCTGTAAGGTTGGTAGGGTGAATGTGTGATTAACCCTTGTGTGGTGGCTTATGGATTACACTGAATGGGAATTTTACAGCAGTATAATGTGTTTAATGTAGGCCACTTTCCCCCAGTGTCTACAGACACAGCCAGCCTTTTTTCATTAAAGACATTCTTTTTTCCACTAAAGACATTCTTGTGGGGCCTTGGAATAGCATTACTAACCTTTCTTTTTTACCATCTCCTCATTATTGCAAAGAAAGAGAATCTTTATTGGATTAGTGTTCTTGTGAAATCTTAAGTCTGCTTCCACTCTGAATACTTCTGTACTTTTACAGATCTCTTGAATTCCTTATTTTGCTGGCGCCTCTTGGCAAAGGTCAAACTCTCCTTTCTACCCTCTGATCAGGGAAATTATAGTTTTATAGATGGTTTGTTGGCATTCTGCTTGTGATAAGTTGTTATTCTCTTTGCTAATCGTCCGTGTGTTTGCTAATCCTTTCTTCTATGGTCTCTTCCAGTGGTCTGACCCATGAGTCACACAAGAAGGACGTTGAGCAAGTCTACCTCCGATGTTCCGAAGGCTCCGTAGAATGGCTTTACCCAACTGGAGCCCTCATCATCAACTTGAGGCCCAACACTCTCACGTCAGCCCACAAGCATTTGACTGTTTGCATTAAGCCCCTGAAGGACTCCAAAGGAGCAAATATTTATTTGGAAAAAACTGGAGAACTCAAACTTTTAATTAAAGATGAAGATAGTAACCCTAACAGGGTGCACTGCTTTGGCATTGGCCAAGGAGGATTGTTTATTGAGGCTACGCCCCAGCAAGACATTAGTCGTAAAATTACTGGATTCCAGTATGAACTCATAAGCCAGAGGACACTTTCGGATTTGCATACAGTTTCTGGTAAGGATTTAATCAAGGAAACGTTCCCTATAATGTTTGTGTTCTCCTACAACTTCAGTGGCTGCCTTACAAACTGATTGTAGAAAATATACTTTTTACATACTGCAATAGGTAGTGTGACAGGTAGGTGGCGCTATGGAAGCAAATATGAGTTTTAATGCATATCTATAATAGTGCAGACTAACTTGTGGCACTACTATAATTCAGAGATGTCGGGATGGTCAAATGGCAGATGTCACCCATTACCGACTTGCATCAAGAGCAGATGTGTTGGGTTTCTAAAGACCGCTTTAGTGATTCAGGAGTATATGTAACTTCTAGCAACAATGATTAAGGGGGAATTCTCGATTACTGAGAAGTTATCATTTCTGAAAACTGTTAAAACTGATGATATGATCACAATCTCGATGCTGCCAAAGTTATTTAACCCCTTAAGGACCAAACTTCTGGAATAAAAGGGAATCATGACATGTCACACATGTCATGTGTCCTTAATGGGTTATGGCTGAATCCAAAACACAGATGGCAATTTATTTATTTTTTTGAAAGTTTAGTGAAAATCTTGAAACTGTGATATCCTATTTGAGGAAACCTACGGTAGTAATCAGTGCTGTTAAATTCCCTGTTATGCCAAGACTAAGGCCAAAACTGTAAATTGGTACAATTTAATCCATAAAAAACCCAACACATTTTATTGCATGTAACTAATTAAAAAGACGTCACGGCACTGTTCGTAGCCAGCTAATACATATAACTCTGAGGGCTTCATATGATGAGGTCATTGTAGTAACTGGCTACAAAACACTGCTTGATGTAATTGTAAGATTATCCCATAATAATAATTGCTTGTAATGCTGTTTACATCACCACGTATACACCCAAATCTCAGATACTACACCAGCCCCAGTTTTCATTGAGCTAACAACCCGGTTATTAGCAGAGGCTGGGCCTCCCTGCTGTGTGTCTGAGTCAGTAGAGTACTCGCAATTTATAGAAACCGGAATAATAAAGTGGGTGAGAGTTGCAACAATCACTTGTTGCAGTTCACACTTACGGCAAATGGTGAATGTCTCCAAATTCACATAGGACTATTCATTTAGTACTGGTGTTTTACGTGGATAAGAAAAGCTATGGGACAATTTCAGTTTATCGATAGATGGAGCACAATGAATTACCTGTCCCTCAATATATTGTCCTACTTACCTTTCCTCCTGATATAATGTCTTAGTCCTACTTACCTTCCCCCTGATATATCTGAGCTCTGCTTACCTCCCCCCGATATATCTGAGCCCTACTTACCTCCCCCCTGATATAATATCTGAGCCCTACTTACCTTCACCCCATTATAATATCAGAGTCCTACTTACCTTCCCCTGTTTTAGTTTGAACTTTATTTACCTTACCTCAATTTAACGTCGGAGTCCTACTTACCTTCCCCTGTTTGAGTTTGAACTTTAGTTACAATACCTCAATTTAATGTCTGTTTTTTTTATTCATTACAATTATCCCAATATATCTGAGCCCTATTTACCTTCACCCCGTTATGTCTGAGGCCTACTTACCTTCCCCCGTTATGATGTCTGAGACCTACTTACCTTCCCCTGTTATAGTTTGAGCCTTATTTATCTTCCACCCAATATAATGTCTGACCCCTACTTATGTTCCCCACGACATAATGTCTGAGCCCTAGATACCTATTAATGCGTACCCCTGTTGAGGGTTTGAATGGCGTAGTATTACTTAACTTTTAGCCCTTGCGGTCTGGCAATGGCCACTCTGAGTGAGAAGCTCTGCAATGCTATTGTGCACGCGCAGAAAGTCACTGCACTGCGCCAATTAAATGTAACATAGGATTGAGAACAGAGTTTGACTCCTTTCTCAGTGGAAAAATGCCACTAGAGGTGGGTTTAACCCAGTAATGGGCTCATTTCCGTGTCCACAAAACTGCAATGCTTTACATTGCAGGGTTAAAATGAAAGGACCACTCCACCCAGACCACTGCATTGAGATGACGTGGTCTTGGGTGCCTTTAGTGGTTCTTTAAACACATTTTCTTTCACATTATGTGAGTGGTTGCCTGGCTTCATGTTACCTTTAAAAAATCTTTCCTACCAATAGCTGGTACAGCAGACACAGGGCCCTGGTTAGGATATCTAGAATCTATACAAACGTGGAATTTTATGTGTGACAAACGATGGCTTTCCAATGATTCATGGGAATGCATGCACTGCCTCCTGGTGTCATTCGCGTGCGCACAGTCTAACACCCCCTCACCTCTTGCCTGACCCATGGAACAGGACATTGGCTGTGCTAATTAACGTCCCTGAGGCATTTCTTTAATGGAAAATCGTTCAACCTTCTCTGGAACTGATTAACCAGATCTATAAAAACTAAAGATTGTGGCTCCAAACTTATGAAATTGCTTAATGCAAGCAAGTTTAACCTTCCCAGTTTTCAATGTCAATGTGAAGTGTTACAGGAAACAATCTGTTTTCCAATAATATAAGTAAACTTGTTACATGGCAGTACCAGCACTGTGTGCCCTGTGTACCCTTAGCCAGAGAGCTCTACTGAAGTCTTCTTGAACGCTAAGCTTGCGACTTGTTTGGAGACAAGGACACAGCTAGTCTTATACTTACATAAAGCAGAGGAAGAACCTTTTCAAATCAACTTACAGTTTAAAGGGACACTAAGCACCAAAACCACCAATGCTATCTGGCTATGGTGTCTTTAGGAGCCACCCCAACATTTTTGTTAAACTGATTTCAAGAAAAAAACAAAACATGGCTCTTTTCCAGTAATCAAAGCCCAGCCCCCTGCGCCGCTCAAGTAATGTCCAAAGTCATCTAATCTTGAATAGCTTGCAAAGGCTGCAAGCTCAGATGTAAGGTGACAGACTGCGCAAACTCACTATATTGTAATTTTTTAATTCATTTTTTTAAAGATTTGTGATGTTGACAATCTACATTTTGTTTTTATTGCGGTCCATATGGAATTGCCTTGGATAGATAACATGGAAGTTCTTCTTTTTTTTTTTTTTAAGTGTGTCAGACTAGTGAAACAGTTCGTATGAGTCATACCCCACATTTTTTGCTTTTTGGTTAGAGATTTCTTTCTTGCATTTTAACCATTACAATTAGTTGTGGTACTTGATGATGCTTAGTGTGCCCCTATAATTGTGTTTTTGCTGAATATTGAGCAGACAAGCTAAATGATTTGGCATAGAGTGAGAAAGAGAAATGAATGGTGCTATTTAAAAAAATAAAATAAAAAATTCAGAAAGTAATATCACACTTTAGAAGGATGTTATGACAATGACAGATATAAACCTGTAAGTTTTCATGTGTTTGAAGAGCTACAACAGACACGTATCTTGGTTTTTGTTCCCCAGTAGCTCCATAGAACAGTATTTGTTCTCTTAGACATGCTGATAGCTTTGAAGGCAAGGATCACAGAGTATGTGTCAATTCCAGGAGGTAAACGTACACTGAATCACAAGAAGCACTTCGATATGCACTAAACATGCTTTAATTTCTTAAGCAATACGCAACGCTGGCATTTTAACCAAAAAAGGCTTTTTCCCCCTTTTTCTTTGTCATGACCACATTGTCAATATCTACTTTCCTCAAAGCCCGCTGCTGGTTCTTGAAATGAGCAAATGGGCCCCAAACCATGGTCTTTGCTTTTCTGAACAACTAGAGGCAGCCAGTTGTCACCGCCCTGCGATAAACATCTATTGCACTTCCTTCCAGCGTGTGACAAGTCATTCATTTAGAAAGGCTGCTAATGGCAAAAGAAGGGGGTGGGGGGCAAGAATGCCAAAGCCAATTCTCTTAACTACATGTGAAAGTGAATTTTATTGCAACTTAGAGGAAGCCAGCACTAGTTCCATTCCAGTAGTGATATGTGAGGGCAACAGTGTGCTAAAATTTAGGTAGAAAATGCAACTTTACGGCTTATTCACTAAAGAGTAGGTTGTTGTGAATTATTATTTTTATTATTATTTTTTTATTATTTATATAGCGCCATCAGATTTCGTAGCGCTGTACAATTGACAGCCTTGCTCACATTTTATGTCTATAAGCCAAGTTGTAGAGTTGTCCAATACACAATTCTGGGGTAAACATGTTTGTTTTGACACACATAAAAACAAAACGATACATTTATCAATTGTGTAAGAATTAAGTATTTTAAATCCTTTATTTTCTAATCCTTTTGACCTTCAGTGAAATGTCTAGCGGGACAATTTCAGGGATTCTCTCCACGCATTGTCCGAGCATTTTAAGATGAATGCCATCACAATGCATTGTGGGAATCTGTGGATTAAGAAAGGTGCAGTGATACTCCCTGCTGTGCAGATTTTCAGAGGTTATGTCGGTAAACTGGCAGTTTTTCATTTAAGGGATAAATTGTTACTCCTGGGTATCAAAGTGAGAATCCTAAATAACTTCTATTTTAGCACATGCGTCAAGTTTTTAACATGACTCTGAATGCAGTAGACTAGAGTTTTGGCTCAGTAAATTGGGCTACAGTTGTTTACTATCGTGAGCAATATGTGATTCTGTCTGGGCGGTTTTGCTGTGCTCTGTATAACTCCCAATGTGCATCTTAGGAGAACACTGGAAAAAGTATACAGTAATTACTATTCATTTAATGATAAAAACAAAACGAGCAAACGAGTACAGAGTGATTCTGAATCAGAGACTAAAAGTGAAACAAACGACATAAACATTCCATTGTCTCCGTGGTGATAGCTCTACTCTGACTTTACCCTAGAATTGCTATTCACATAGAACATAGAATATGTGGGGTTTAAAGAGCATGATGGTTATGTTTGGCTTTTTTTTCTGTTGTTAAATGAGGCTTGTATGATTCCTTTTGGGTGGAAAAGCTAGTGTTAATATTTGTTAATTAGTCTGAAAAGAAAAAAAGAATTCCTTTATTTATTATAAGTTCCATTTGCTACCCACTAATGTGCTGTCTATAAACTGACATAAAAGGCAGACCCATGGCTTTCTCATTAGCAGAGTCCACATCTGGGCCCTTCCTTCTTATCTCAACAGTTTAAAGCTGTGGGGAATGTTTGAAGTGGGACAACAATGTACTTTGTATTTTTTTTTCCTGGGGACAATTGAGGTTTAATGCTATACACACAGCTGCAAAAAAAGAGGGGGGGTGGGGGTGGGGAGGAGAGTGTTAGAAGTGCCAGAAAACAAACTCTTCTTGGTAGACTGACCATGAATTAAATCCACTTCTATTTCTAAACTCAGTGGGCTTTTAAAATCAATAAGCTGTTGGGTTCAGGCATGGACAGAGGTTAAGCCTTGGGACCCTTTGGTGATCAAGAAAAATGTCCAAAAGTTGATAATGCTTTCTATTCCCCTCTTGTGCTAAAACCGCCTCCTGCAAAGTCAGATTTGACTCGGCAAGTCCTCAGGGCTGTGTTTTCTCTACCTCTATGCCTGGAGTTTGAACTGATCACTTAAAAGAAATGCTATTGTGGAAAAAAAAAAAAAAAAAAAGGTTTTGTTTCACATACAGCCTACTTTGTGCTTTTTCGTTTTCTATTTTTTGTGTACCTATAGTGGAATCATTTCAGGAAATATTCAGTTTACAGATTTAGTCATTAAAATGTATTTCTCTGCCTCTGGTTAAAAAATTTTAAAGGGAGGGAACAGATATATGGCCACCAAAATGTGCACAATTCACCTGCAGTGGCTCTTGTTTTTTATTTTTTTTTATTTTTAATTAGATGCTTAAAGTAGCACTAGTGTACCTATGCAAAGGATTATGGGAAACATACAGCTGTATGCCTCTTGGAAGGAACTGCATCACCTCCTCTGTGTTGGCAATATGTGGGCATTTTTTTTAAAGCATGAAATCTGCATCTGGCATTAGTGAAAAATGTAAAAATGCAGATATTTTGACAGTCTGTTATGCTCTGTCATTGGTTAGGGTGCCAGAAAGTTACAGTATATGTGATCAAAACAGAGTTTTGATTATACCCCAAACACGATTCATTTTATTGTGATTATGAGTTTGTATGTTGCAGTTTTATTTGATTTGATAATAGTTTACTTTCCCAGTACACTTGTAAACCAAATCAGATCTCATCTGAGTGTTTTTCTGCGATATGTAAGCAGTGTATCATCTCTTTGATGGCACAATCATACCTTAACCCCTTAAGGACACATGACATGTGTGAAATGCCATGATTCCCTTTTATTCCAGAAGTTTGGTCCTTAAGGAGTTAAAACCCATCTGTTTAGGAAAGCTAATGGCCTCCCAGAGTAACATCTACCTCACATACCTGTCTCTTGCTCTCTCCTAAAGGGCAGCACTTTACTCTCTCCTCCAGCTCTGCTTCACTCCCACCTTATCTAGTTGCTGTTTCCTGTCCTAATGTGTTTTACACCCCACCTCCTATAGACTGTAAACTGTTCAACCTATCGTTCCTGTAAGTTTTCTTGCAATTGTCCTATTTATAGTTACATCCCTCCCCTCGTAATATTGTAAAGCGCTACGGAATCTGTTGGCGCTATATAAATGGCAATAATAATAATAACAGGGATGATTTTTTATGAATTATTCGGAGATATAGTGCTAAAAGCGAAATGCAATTTTCTTGCTGACTGCTCCATTTCTAACACTGTGTATTGGGGATCAGCAACTGTGTAAAACCTCTGCATAATGTAAGTCATAAAGTAAGGCCGAATTCAATTTTAGCGGAACAAAATAACTTAAGACAACCAAACACGAGTCTGATATCTTATTACTACCTATAATGTGCAGTGATCTCATTCACTGGCAATATTTACATTCTTTTTTTTATCAAATGTAAATTGATTATCATTGATTAGGTTTGATATTAATTCACATAGTGAAAATAATCATGTAGACTCCCTTAAATAAACAAAAACTCCAGGGAATTACTTGCATTGTTCGAGATTGCAAGACCTGTAAAACATCTTTCAGAAGCTCGTGCCTTTGAACCCTCTACAAGCCAGCAGAAATCAATGTGGTTAGCTACGGGGCCCTTTTCGACTGGAGTAAAAATGACTCGAGGTTACAAAGTGCTCACTTACTCTGCCATGAAATGTTTGGGAAATCAAACTGCTGAAGTGGTGTTTACCCTGTCTGTAATAGCCTATGTCTGAAACATTTGGATAAACTGTGTATTTTATTAGTGCTTTGGCAGCTCGCGTTGTGTAACGTTGCGTAGTTGTGTTTATTTGTTGCTTTGTATGAAGTGGACCTTTGGAAAGAAGCCAGTTAATGACAGAGATATCGGATTGTGCTCTTGGCCTATATTTATCGAGGCCTTTTATTTGCAATTCCTAAAAGCCATTAGATATGTCAATATTTGCCTGAAGTCTTTTTATCACTTCATCAGACTTCAGGACTTCAATACCTTGCCGTTTTTATTTTGCACTTAATTGTCAAATGCATTGATTAACTCTTTATATTTAACTGTGCAAGGTAACCTACTCTATTTACGTATTTGCTTTTTCAAGGTAGAACTGTGTGATTAAAAACTGTGTAATATAAGGAGGATATAAAACTACAATTGATTATAAGGGGTTAGCACTATACCTGCAAACTGTGGGGAGACAAGGAAATTGCTAATTTTGAGACAAAGTAGTTGATCAATACCAATGCATGCATTAGAGAATATTTCTAGTTTGGCTATATTGTCCTGAAATGTGTGAAATTAGCAAACGTCAGGATTTGTATAGTGCCTCAATGCCACTGTGGTGATTTTGCCATTTAGATTTTTTTTCCATCTGGGCAAGATAAGTGGTATTACAAATTACACTAGTCAAACCTTCTCAAATTCATGTTCCTTCATCCTCTATTTGTATCTATATTCCTAACCAAGAGGCATTCAAACTTGGCCATCTACTTAAAGTTGGACTAATCATTAGTCAGTAACTAACAGAATTCTAGAAAATGTAGTCCAGTAATAGCTGAAAGGCCATAATTCGTTATCCCAATCAGGGGTTTTCTGTAGGTACTTAACGATGGATACATTTAGGGTCCAAGTCATGTGAAAACTCTGATACAAAAAAAATATATATACATTAAGGAATTCCCAGATAGTGTGAGTGAGGGGATGATAGAAAACATGCCTCTGGCAAGACATGAGTGGTTTTAGTTGGAGAGGACCTATCTAAGCTACTATGTGAACATCTCATGTTCCACAAGAAGTGTAGCTTGCCCTGCTAGAACACCTACGATACTTGTAACATTATATAATATGTATCACATGTGGACTGCGTAAACAATTAAGATGTTGACAGGGACTACAAATCTCTTCCACCAGAAAGGAAGATGTCCCATTCAATGAGACTTTTGGCCAACAACTTTGGTTGGTCTACAGTTGCCTCTGCTGTGCGCTCTTAAAAAACATCAGGATCAGAGGGCAAATATCTCATAGCAGCTGGAACAAGAATTATATTTTGTGAGGGATGATGTAATTACATCTCTGGGGCCAAGGCCTTCAGATACAGGGCTGCTGGACTGATTCAGGTTACCTAAGGATACTGCTAGGATCTGTTAAAGAAATTCCCTGCAGGTTTTGGCAGCTGACCGCACAAAGCCAGCATTATCCGGCTAGTAACTGAATTACGATCCCCTGAGCTTTAGAAGGACGCAATAAAATGCTGCCCTTTGAGTCTTATGAATAAAGGATTGTTGGGTTCAAGTTGCAGAGGAGATTTCGGCCTTTTCCCCAGAAAAATTAGCATGCTGCCGTACATACATAAACCTTTCGTTTCCAAGTGTCTGAGGAATCTTCAGTTCTGGCCCTGGAAAGCATCAGCCATTTCCTTCAAGTTTTCTATGCCATATAGGCAATGGGAGGTTCAGGGTCCATTAGTGACAGCAGGCTGGATAGCAGGTGGAAGTCGAACCAGACAGATGGAACACTGAGCCTCCGGATTTAAACGTTACAGGATGATGCAAAGAATATTATAGTTGCAAAAGCAAAATACTTTTGAGTTTTATTCGAGAAACTTGGAATTGTGGAGAATTAAGAATCACAAATTGTAGGCCAAATTTGCCTCATTGTCAACTCAGCCATTTGGTCCAAAATGTACAATTTGTATGTCAACCCCCACAAATAGTCATCTTATAGAAAGCATAAAAGGATACAGTCTTGTCAGAGGACAGGAAAGTGTAGGTATTTGAAAATGAAACCATTTTTTTCTTCACTTGCCTTTTTTGATCATTTATCATATTTTAAAATGTAAAAAAAAAGAAGAAAAGAATCTTATTGGTAGCCAAGTCACAATCATAGGGCTATGTTTGTGATGTCTGAATATCTTTCTTCTACCTAAAAAAATAAAATAAATAAATGCCGAGTTCTGATCCTGCGTAATCCATCTGGGCCATGCGTTAAACGATTATTCTCTCATCGGGTGATTGAAATAGTTTGCACGACTTAGGGACATAATCCTGATTATTACGGTGTTGAGAATTATTTTTTCATCCCCTGAACAAAAGCACAACTATTAACACTTTGAAATAGTTTTCAGCTGGCTTTATATTAAATGTAGTTGTGTTTTAAGAACATATATATATAAACTAGATGTAAACACATGACACATTGGATGTAGATTGCCCTTTATTCAGTAAAGGACACAAATTACAAGGAATTCAGACTACACGTTGCATTTTCTTTTCAAAGTAATTGTTAAAAAAGGTGTCTACTTAATGTTTTAAATTACAACCAGAAAAACATACCCTTGTTTTGCAAGAATTCTATTTTGGAATGCAGTTAAATATTTACCATTTGGCTAAGATCCCTTCCCACCTAGCTTGTAAAACAGATACAAAAAGCACTTTAAGACGTGTTTGTTTGATGTCCTCCTGTCATTTTGATGCATATTAACGTTGATGATTTCTTTTGCAGATCCATGCCGCCCTTGTGGAGATACAGAGGTTCTCTTGGCAGTCTGCATTAGTGACTTTGGTAAGTCTCACCATATTGTATCCACGCTTAGACTACATATCTCCCTAGGAAAACTAAGCATATACCGTATGTAGTGGGACCTTTTAAGGACCACACCATCTGCTGATGGTCCTGATTGACATAATTATTGCCTAGCTGTGGCGGGTTAGTGGTGGAATTCTTTTAACAGTTTGGCAATGGAGAGTTGTCCAAACCTGGTTGCCAACAGCCACTGTTAAATGTATACTAAGTATAGTATAAGAACATATACAGCTCAAAGTTAAGGTAGCAAAGTTGGAATTGTCTGAGCATTAAATTGCCCACAGTCTTGAGCCTATTCAACAATTTATAGTTTAGTGAATACACATCTTTATTTACCCAAGAAAAGAATGTCCGCTTGTTTAGAAGCAGCTTGCAGACAGGTCTGGTGGGGGCGGTAGGTGCTATCTCACTGTTGCTTTGTTTACACTGTTACCTTGTGAAAGCTGATCTCAACCCCCCCTGTAATCCATTTTCTTTCTTTCTTTTTACCTCCCCCCAGTTGTCAGAGGCACAATCAGAGCTGTAACCAATGAAGTAGAACAGCACGAATCCATCATAGATGTGTCTGTGGATAAACTCTACAAGCAGAAAAACAAAATCTTTTTCCCTAACAAAGAGAGCGGGGGTTGGGACGGCCACATTCGGACACCTCTGGAATGCGGTGTTAAAGCAGGATTTGGGGACTTCTTATTTACAGGCCGGATGCACTTTGGGGAACCCCGATTGGGCTGTGCACCTCGGTATAGAGACTTCCAAAGAATATATCAAGAGGCAAAACAGAAAGGGTTAAACCCATGCGAAATTTCCACGGACTGAAGGACACCACTGCCCTGCCAATAATTGGGACTTTATACCATTTATAAGGACAGCAAATTATTTCAATGGAAAGCTAGCCTCTACCACGGACTCCCACAAATGCTGAACCACGGTGTGAACTCTTACACTAATGACTAGATGGAGGTACGAACCAAGCCAGCCACTGAACAAGACCCATTTTTTTAAGTCTTACTACAGAACTCTTAAGTTATATTTTTTTTTTTGTTAAAAAAAAAGACTTTTTCAAGTTTTAAAGAAAAGAAAACTGCCTTTGTACTTTTTAATACTAATGTTCATAAAATTAAAAAAATACTTTTTTTTTTATTAAGCAGTGTAACATTTGACGTGGCACATTCTGTATAAAATGGCGCATATGTCATAGAACACAGACAAAATATCGTTAACATTGGTGCTTTGTAAAAAGCTTGGTGTAAAAATTTCAATGTCGTTTCTTATGAAAGAAATGAATGAGAGCAATTTCTTTGTTTTATTTTTTTTGTACAATCATGGTCTGCCATTTTGCACAGGCTGTCTGATTGCTCTTGGTTTTAAAGAAATAAAGTCCTCATGGGACTTAGTCTTTGTGTGTGGTTGTTAATATCTCTTTGTTGTGGTTGACTGAACAGCACTTGTAAACATTGTGATAAACACAAGCAGTATTTTGTGAGACACAATGACCATTTATGGTCTTTACAAAGGGAACCATTAGGGTCTTTCCGGGGAAAATCGGCCGTAATCTTGTCCTATTAGAAGTTCTCTTTTCATAAGGCAATTTAAAAATAGAAATTACCATGATCACAATTACAAATCTTCTGAATAATAGCTACATTTTGAAATTTAAATATGATATTATAATATCCATTGACATAAGAGACAGCATTAATGGGGTGATTTGTGATAATTTGTAATGCAATTGTTAGAATAATTTAGTTTATTTCTTATATAATTGTTGGCATTTACATGGCACCAACATATTCCGCAACGCTTTACAATTATCGAAAGGGTATATGAAAAACACCTTGCTTAAATGGGTTTGCAATCCATGAGGGTTTGAGATATATATCTCATTACTCTTATCCCTGGCTCATGAGGAATTCTGTGAGTCTAAACACACTTTAAAGGGTCACTGCAACAAAAGAACAAAAAAAATTGTGTTTTCACGAAACAGTGTTTTTTTTTTATTGTAGCCAGCCCGGTTATCAAAACGAAACATTGCATGTACAGACTCCAGGCATCACAACCACTTCACATTAAGTTATGGTGCTAGGGGTAACCCTTTAAGAAAACATGCTCCAGGTTTCTGCACACCATTACACTTTATGAAAACCTATTTCACATGTACTTACGATATTGTGTTTATATTTAACGAGTTCTTATCGTAAAGTCCTAAACAGACATTCTGTTTTTCGAGGCCACATGGGTTCTCAAGGGATTCTGGATCAATAAAATGGTGCCATACCTCTTGGGCACCGTAAGGGCTAAAGAACATTAAAGAACCTATATTTTAAAATAAACAAATATTCACTAAACTGTGAATTTCAGTGAAATGACACGAAAATTAACAAAGCAAATTTTTGGTTTAAAAAACAAATCTAATTCATATTTTCTTTTCTACAATGGAATAAAATACATAGTTTTTTTTTATTATGTGTACTTACATGGCAATAACTTTAAAGGAACACTATAGTCACCTAAATTACTTTAGCTAAATAAAGCAGTTTTATTGTATAGATTATTCCCGTGCAATTTCATTGCTCAATTCACTGTCATTTAGGAGTTAAATCACTTTGTTTCTGTTTATGCAGCCTTTGCCACACCCCCCCTGGCTATGATTGACAGAGCCTGCATGAAAAAAAAAACTGGTTTCACTTTCAAACAGATGTAATTTACCTTAAATAATTGTATCTCAATCTCTAAATTGAACTTTAATCACATACAGGAGGCTCTTGCAGGGTCTAGCAAGCTATTAACATAGCAAGGGATAAGACAATCTTAATTAAACAGAATTTGCAATAAAGAAAGCCTAAATAGGGCTCTCTTTACAGGAAGTGTTTATGGAAGGCTGTGCAAGTTACATGCAGGGAGGTGTGACTAGGGTTCATAAACAAAAGGGATTTAACTCCTAAATGGCAGAGGATTGAGCAGTGAGGCTGCAGGGGCATGTTCTATACACCAAAACTGCTTCATTAAGCTAAAGTTGTTCAGGTGACTATGGTGTCCATTTATAACTGGTAAAGGAGATCATTTTGTTAGTCAAAGAGCTGGAAGTGAAAAATAGGAAGAAAAGAAATAAAATAACACACTGAAGGTTGTACTGTGCGTATTACATTTTACCTCAACATGCAAAATGTAAGTCCAACCTACCTGTCTAAAAGAATGTAGAAGAAATATAGGACAGATAAATGTATTGCTGAACCTCAGAGGCTTAAAGTGGTATTCATGTTGAGCAGAAAGGCCAGCACATAGGTAAATAGTCAAGCATTATTATTATTATATTTATATAGCGCCAACAAATTCCGCAGCGCTTTACAATGCATGAGCCAAAGTCTAGGAATATGGAAAAACAAGGTCATAACTGATACCAGAATACGATCTGAGTCAATAACTAAAGAATTACCAGGACTCAACAACAGTCTTGGGGTACACAGGAACCACGACAAGGCACAGTAGAGTTCATGTAATTAGTTATGGTGCATAGCACAAGGTAAGTGAAACACCATTCGGTGTCAGACATGACACCAGAGTGATGTATGGATTTAATATTTCTTATGAAATCGGGAGCTACATGACTACTGGAGACAGTGTATAGCCAGTCGGCCTTCAGTATGGGTAACAATTCATGTCACCCGCTGCAAGCTTCACCCCTAGGCATTCTGGGAAATCCTGTTACCCTTTGGGTACCACAGAGTGGTATAAGTGATGTTTGTGATTCGTGCGGCCTTTGCTTTGCTCTTATCATTCACATGTTCATACGGTGTGTAAGGAACAAAATAGTTGAAGTGCTCCCATTTTTTCCATGACTCCTGTAATATAATGATGGGCTCTGCCTTCATGTGCTCTTTAACCACACTTAATTGTCGGATCAGGTATTTCCAGATTTTCAATATGGGTGTAACAGATGAAGCTGGGGAGGGGTTCCTTTTAATTAAATTTTCTTCCAACAAAAAAAAATAGGAGGAGGAGGTATATTGGCATTAAAAGTGCAGCCTTGCAATATGTATAATTTATATTCTTAATTAATTAATAAACCAGTTAAGAATGGATACCAAAAGAGTGTTTCTCCCTCCTACAGAATGCTGTCTCTACGTACTGCACTGCAACACTTGTCATTTAAGAATATAAACACAAATAAACTAGCTGTATATAGGAAAATATGGTGGGTTCTGGCAATTGTAACCAAAAATACTGATCAAGGTGTCTTAGGAAAGAGAGAAGGCAGCATCTAAGGAGAGATTAACCTGGGTATGGGTGTAACAGACGAACATTTACAATAGCTTCACATGGTGGTCCAGCCTTTAAAGCCAGCTGTTTGAACTAATAAAATATAAACACATATTGCCTTTGGGGTGCTGTAGTCACGCTATAACAGGAGGAGTGAGATTTGACAGCCTGGTTCTGTAGCCTCATAGTTGTTCCCTGTCTCCAGACAGGACAGTGACAATGTGACAGGTGCTAAAGTACTAGCAAGGAACATGTGCTCTTCAGACTGCAAGTCATTACACTCCAAACATAGCCAAATGTCTCAACCAAAAGCACATGGCATCTACAGCATGGTGGACCACAGTAGGATTTAGTAGCCATAAATGTTCCAGCTTGGAATTTAAAAGGGACAGTTTGACAAGGTTATTCAATAAAATGAGAATTCAGGGAGAATTTCACATTTAAACTCAAAATAGCCAGACCAAACTAGGCTTTTATTTCGGCTACTCTGGCTTTAAATGTGAAATTCACTTTGAATTTTATCACATGACAGGAGGCTTCATATTTTGTATAATCTTCCTTTACTACTCCATAGCAGCAACGACATATAGATTAAAAAATGAACCAATCAGAGACAGGCAGAGAGTATAAGATACGCCTTCCACTGAGTCACTCCCTCTTTCTTTGCTGCTCCATCAGAAGTAAGGTCAGAATATTGTGTGTCTACACTTTGTTGGCTTGTCTTGTATATTTGTCCTGTATATTTACTTAATTTTTCCGCAGCCACTTTGGATTGTGCCTCGCGAAATCTGTGGCGGCCATTTAACCCTTGCCGGTTGCTAGGAATTAAACAGGGGTGAGCCCCTGATTTATAAGTGTACCCTAGCTTATGCTAGCTGCTGCTTTTACTGGAATACTTCCATACTAATATTAGTGGGGGTGAGCCCCACCATCATATTGTTACATACCCTGGTATCTTACCTTGCCAGAATATATTGACTATTTGATCTGTCTGTCACAGTTACAGCTCCTATGATTGGCCTGTCTGTGCCACCGTACCTCCCTACGGGAAATACTCCTGGAGGTTTTATTATTACTGGGTGAGCCAAGTTATTACCGATATATATATATATTGGAATCGGTACAGAAATTGGCTTCTGTTCACCTTGCCTGTCAAGGTTAGTATTAATCTAGGGGTGGTTCAGCTGGTCAGGTTTATACCTAGTAACCTGGCTAGGGGTGAGCCCCCATATACCGCTGACGAGTGGAGCTGTGCTTGCAGTCTCCTTTACCTGGGTGACCCCCAGTGTTTCCTCTACATACAGTACTATGGGTCGCATTCTTAAACCACCATAACCCCTAGTAATCCCTGCTACCAATTTGCATTTTTACTCACAAATCTATTAGAACAGCCCCAAATATACTGGCTGTTAATAATGAAAGTCTCAGATGCCCTCAGACCTCCAGGCAGTAATCGACACGGCAGATTGGACACATGCACTTCTGGCTGTGGAAGTTTCTGTACAAGGAGGTCTGTAAGCGGCTGAGATGAGAGTGCCCCAAACCTTCACTCCGGATAAGGTCGCCCATACCCCAGAATTTCACCAGATGATGCTGGCCTTCATGGCACAAGGGGGTAGAGACCCAAGGAAATGGGTCAAGAAAGGGTTGAAGAGAGCCCAGGATAAGCTCCTTGATGCTGTCGGGCCGCTCACCTGGGTTCTGACCCCAACACATGAGGCATACACCCAGGCTGCCTCCTTTTAGCAGACAACATGCGCAACGGGGCACAAGATGTTCGTGAGTGGACCTAGAGATGTTTTGCTTCCTGGGCAACACAAATGTGGCCCTCTTTTCAGAGAGACACTGGGCAACGTTATTCCGAATTGATGGCAAATTGGTAAACCTCAGGGCTAAAGAATTAGGCTCACAGGCACGAGGAAATTATTCAGTGAGCCTTTCACGAAAGGCTAATGCTTAGTCAGAAGAATCTGCTTAACACTTGGGGGTCACCGGTTCAATTCCCCAGCAGGGCTGACTCAGCCCTTCAGCCCTTTGAGGTAGATAGAATGAATACCATGAAATTGGGTAAAAGTTACATCAATAGCATACACTTGGAAAACAGAAATAACTTAATGTCTCTTTCCTGGTTAAACATTTTTACATACCACCATTTAAAGATGGAAGGTACCCATCTATTGCGGCACCTCCGGCAAGGAGGAGACTGGTTTACCCGACTGAACTTAAAGACGCCTACCTGCCTGTACCAGTAGATAATAGCTGTCCTCCCTCCTTACAGTACCTCTGGAACAGGACACCATGGCAAT